TCGGAAGTGGTATGGGCATCGTCACTCCCGCCCGGGACATCGGCCCAGCGCGCAGAACTGATTGCGCTCACCCAAGCTCTCCGGATGGCAGAAGGTAAGAAGCTCACAGTTTATACTGACAGCAGATATGCCTTCGCCACTGCGCATGTCCACGGGGAAATCTACAGACGGAGAGGCCTGCTGACGTCCGCGGGTAAGGAAATCAAAAACAAAAAAGAGATCCTAGACCTCCTAAAGGCCCTGTTCCTCCCGCTCCAACTCAGTATTGTCCACTGCCCAGGGCATCAAAAGGATGACTCTGCGGTAGCCAGAGGGAATCGGCTGGCGGATCTGACTGCCCGAACAGTGGCTTCCCAGCCAGCAGGGAGCAGCCAGTTGATGGCCATACAAGAACCACAGCCTGAGAGAGACCCCGTGCCCTATAGCCCAGAAGACCATGAGCTAGCAAAGAAAATGGGGGCGGACTGGGAACAAGGAAGACAAGCATATATACTAGGGGACCGGATGGTCATGCCAACCTCCCATACCCGATACATACTGAGATTCCTCCATGCATTGACCCATTTGAGCAAAAACAAGATGAAGACCCTATTGGACAGAGAAAACACCTGGGCAGTGCTGCTGAACCAGGATCAGGTACTCCAGCAGGTAACTTCTACCTGCCCAGCCTGTGCTCAAGTCAACGCAGGAAAGGTTCATCTAAACAAGGGGGCCCGCCAAAGAGGCCATCGTCCTGGTGTTCATTGGGAAATAGACTTTACAGAAGTAAAACCCGGACTCTACGGGTACCGGTACCTCCTGGTCTTCGTGGACACTTTTTCCGGATGGATCGAGGCATTTCCAACCAAGAATGAGACGGCTAACGTGGCAACAAAGAAACTGTTGGAAGAAATCTTCCCCAGGTATGGGATGCCTCAAATATTGGGGTCGGATAAGGGGCCTGCCTTCGTCTCTCAGGTAAGTCAGAAGGTGGCCAAACTATTGGGGGTTGATTGGAAACTCCATTGTGCATACCGTCCCCAGAGCTCAGGACAGGTAGAACGAGCTAATAGAACAATCAAGGAAACTTTAACCAAATTAACGCTTGCAACTGGCACTAGAGATTGGGTGCTCCTACTTCCCTTGGCTCTCTACCGAGCCCGAAATACTCCTGGCCCACACGGCCTAACCCCTTTTGAGATCATGTATGGGGCCCCACCTCCTGTTGTAGACTTTCTCCATCCTGATATTTCCTCCTTTGCTACCACCCCTACTTTAGAGGCACATCTTCAAGCCCTCCAACTGGTGCAGAGGGAGATCTGGAAGCCCCTGGCCAAGGCCTATCAGGAGCAGCTAGACAAGCCGGTGGTGCCCCACCCCTTCCAGATCGGGGACTCGGTTTGGGTCCGACACACCAGACCAAGAATCTGGAACCACGGTGGAAGGGGCCCTACACTGTCTTGCTGACCACCCCCACTGCACTCAAGGTTGACGGGATTGCTGCATGGATCCACGCCTCTCATGTGAAGGCTGCCAGGGAACCCGACCCAGCAGGATCCAGAAAGTCAACATGGACAGTGCGCCGCACACAAAACCCCCTAAAAATAAGGTTGGCCCGCGGCTCCTCTTCCTCCCCCTCCTCTTAATCTCTGCCTACCCCCAGGGGACTAGGGCGGCAGAGAGCCCGCACCTAGTTAAGAGGCTCACTTGGCAGGTTATCTCACAAACTGGGGAGACGGTCTGGCAAACGACCGCCCTTCACACCCCCTTCACATGGTGGCCCAACTTGCATCCAGATCTCTGCCAACTAGTAGCAGGGTCAGAGGACTGGGACATCCCTACCACTGACCCCATGAACCCCAGAGCACCAGATGTCTGTCAGGATGGTAAGGGAACTTGCAAATGTAGTGACGGGAGATATGGATGTGGTCACCCTGAAACCAGAGCAGCCCTGTCACAACTATCCTTTTACGTCTGCCCCCGGGATGGTAGGGACAGAAAGAAGATTAGACAATGTGGGGGTTATGAAAGTTACTTCTGTAAAGCATGGGGATGTGAAACAACTGGTAATACCTATTGGAAGCCTTCATCCACTTGGGACCTCATTAGGGTAAAAAGGACTACCCAAAGAGAAAGCCACTCATGGCGTCCTCTTACTCAAGGACGTTGTTGGGGAACTGTCACGTCAGGAAGAGATAACGCTTACTGGAAAGGGGAGGGGCCCTGTGTAAATTTCACCTGCAACCCCCTGAATATATCTTTTACTCAAAAGGGAAGGGAGATAACACAAGACTGGATTAAGGGTAAAACATGGGGACTTAGACTTTACATGACGGGATGGGACCAGGGAGTCGTGTTTACGATTAGGCTTAAAATCACGGAGCCCTCCGCCTCTATAGGTCCCAACCAGGTTCTCTCTGACCAAAAGCGCCCCTCTTTACCCGCTCCGGCACCCCCGAGGGCTACCCCCCGACCCAATTCGGCCATTCGCCCAAGCACGGCTCCGAATGCCACTGTAACCCCAGTCACCCTCCAGCCACCCAGGCCCGGTACGGGAGACCGGCTATTGAATCTTATAGAGGGCGCTTACTCAGCCCTCAATGTTACCAACCCAAATCAGACTCAGGAATGCTGGTTATGCCTAGTCTCCACACCTCCCTATTATGAGGGGGTGGCCGTAGTCGGAAGCTTCACCAATTCTTCTTCACCCCCGTCAGGATGTGCCTCGACACCTCAGCATAAGCTCACAATCTCCGAGGTGTCAGGACAAGGACTATGTCTGGGGACAGTACCCTACACCCACCAACGCCTGTGTAACCGCACCCAGGCACTTGTTCCAGGACCCCACTATCTCGTGGCTCCCAACGGGACTTATTGGGCCTGTAGCACTGGACTTACACCATGCCTCTCCTCCTCAATACTAGCCAACACGGCCGATTATTGTGTGCTCATAGAACTATACCCCAAGATAGTCTACCATGCACCTGAAGATATCTATGCCCGATATGAAACAGGGGTCCCCCGTATAAAAAGAGAGCCAGTCTCGCTAACCCTGGCCCTGATGCTAGGTGGATTAACAATGGGAGGAGTCGCCGCCGGAATAGGCACAGGTACCACTGCCCTCATGGAAACCAACCAGTTCAGACAACTCCAGGTTGCCATGCATACCGATATCCAGGCACTGGAGGAATCCGTGAGTGCCTTGGAAAAGTCACTCACCTCCCTGTCTGAGGTAGTTCTGCAGAACCGGAGGGGATTAGACCTCCTCTTCCTGCAGGAGGGGGGGTTATGTGCCGCCCTTAAAGAAGAATGTTGCTTCTATGCGGATCATACTGGGGTGGTGAGAGATAGCATGGCTAGATTAAGAAAGAGATTAGAACAAAGACAAAAACTCTTTGAACAACAGCAGGGATGGTTTGAAGGATGGTTCAGAAGGTCCCCCTGGCTCACCACCCTCATCTCCACCCTTATGGGACCCCTTCTGATTTTATTGCTCCTTCTGACGCTCGGGCACTGTATCCTAAACAGACTTGTCCAATTTATCAGGGAACGCGTTTCTACTATTCAGACCTTGGTATTGACCCAACAATACCAACGACTCAACCAGGTGGAAATGGAGCCACATCCCTATTCTTCCCCATGAATGGAGGATTCCATTCCCTGAGATAAGAAAATGGGGGAATGAAGGGCCCCAGCATACTTGCTTAGCCTAACGCCATTTTTGAGCAAGGCCTGAAAAGTACGGGGAAAGTTCATGGGCACAGGAACAAACAGGGTATCTGCGGTCGGCCACCCGGCCCCAGAACAGGGTACTAAAGGTCAGAAAAACAACTTGTACCCTGGATAAGAGCCAAGTCAGCAGGCGTGTCGAGCTCGGGGGAAAAACCACGAGCTGTCCTGAGTTTGAACCTGGCCTCATACGAATCGTCCAATCAGAACCCTGTAAACTATGCTTCCTGCTTCTGTACCCGCCCTTCCGCTGCCCAACCCTATAAAAACCCTCCACTCCAGCCCGTCGGCGCGCCAGTCTCTCCAGCCTCTGGAGGGACTGTATCGCCCCGGGTACCCGTGTTCCTGAATAAAGCCTCTTGCTGTTTGCATCTGACTTGTGGTCTCGGTGTGATCTCTGGGCGAGGGTCTCTCCAGAGGGAAGACTCCAGACGGGGGTCTTTCATTGTAACTTCAGTTCCAGGGGATCTAATGCTCTCTTCTGTTCTCTAAAGACACCAGGCATGCATCTGGTGCTCAGATATACACATGTAGGCAAAACACCCATACACACAAAATAAAATAAAAAATTAAAAAGTCCCAATTCTAGAAGGGGAAAAGAAAGTTTCTGAATCTCATGAGAGTCAGTCGCTGTCTAGGAGCTGCTCTGTTTTAACTATTCCTCATCATCACGTTAGCCCCGATCCTTTCAGATGAAGAGATTCAGGTATACACTGAGATCACACAATCTCGCTTACGCCTGGACACATATAACACAGAGCCCTGGTTCTTCCCAGCACGCTTGCTGTCTGTATTATGGCCATTTTCCCGGCTTGCCACATTGTTTGGCTGATTCTAGACCCACTTGCCAATCAAAACATGTGTCTGCAGAGCAAGAGCAGGAAGAGAAACAGGGTATTGTAGAACAAATGATCCACATTACCCTTGCTTGGTATTTTTTAAAAGTATCTTACCATCTACAATTTCACTTGACCCTCACAATGACCATACACTGGGCTCCTAAGCTGATGGCCTTTTTCATAGAGAAAGAAAAGCTTAGCAAGAGCCAGGTGATTAAAACAAGGTACTCCTACTGTCCAGCACTTTACAAGTGAGTAAATACCTCCTAGATAAATGAACGGCTAAACAAACATGACATGGTTCATGCTCTAAATTTTCATCTTTCAATCCTTTTTCTTCCAGTGGGAGGCAGAGACTGAACCCAGTGCCTCCCACATGCTATGCAAGTGCTCTACCACTGAGTGACATCCCCAGGACTCCCTTTCCTTTGAAACAACCTGCACAGTACTGACCAATCAACAAAGAACTCCAGGTAGCCTTCATTTGGTTTCTCCAGCTTCGGTGTTCCCATTTCTGCTTTCACTCCCACCAAGATGTCTGTATGACCCTGTAAACACATACAATAGTCCTTGCTCAGGAATGACCACACTCCTCTTCCAGACAGGTATGGCATTGTAGCTTGGATACGGTATTCTAAGACGATGGACGGGTACTTTGGATCTGGAGAGATGTATTCTCCCAGTATAGCTTAGGGACTGGAGTCTCACCAGGACCAATGTGTACCCTCCCAAAGCCAGCAGAGCCTGTAACCAACCCTTACAGCTTACCCACCTCTCTACCTGGGTATGAACTGTGACCGTAGAACTTACCAGCTTCACTCTGGCAGACCCACTGGTGTTAGACACTACATCAGTCTCTACTTCAACACATCGGTAGTCCTCACAGCCACGGCCATCTACCCGAAGGTCTTCCTAAGGGAACAACAGCTTTCAGGTTGTGATCCCAAACTCATAGATTCCCTTCCTCCCCTAGAGAAATACAGTTAATCTCCATTTTTCTCAGAGGGTCACCCCAAATTCCGCCCTCACTACTACTAACAATACTACCAGATTAATATAAGGAAGAGATTCAAGTGACTTACCCTACCGTTAATGTTAACAAAGCTATGGTTTCATGTCAGCTGTGTCTGACTACAAAGGCCTGCTATGTCTGGATGTACAGAATACATGCACAAAAACAAGCAGAATGGACAAAACAACAACAACAAAACCACTCATCTCCAAGTCTGCAAGGCTATGCTTTGCTAGAGCTCAGTTACAACTGTGTAGTAGTATTTACTCCACCCATGACCTTGGGCTATAGGGCCGGAAGGGGGCGGTGCTTCTTGATGTTGTACATGCCCTCTTAAAGGGAAGGAACAGGGTCACACGGTCTTTTTATCTGGGCATGATGGACTCTGGACAACCCGGGAATTGAACCTGGTTCCTCCGGAACATCAGTCAGTGTTCTAAACCGCTGAACTACCTCTCTCAACTGGAGCCCTTTTCACCCCAAATTCAGTTTACAAGACCAGTTATGCACAACCTGAATACTCAATCTTCTAAAATAGGGTCAACAAGTTAATGCAAGTGAGTGTGTTTCTGTGATTAGGTCACAACACAGCCATGCTCATTCCCTTAGGCACTCTGAATGCTTTTCCAATATTAGCCAAGAGGAAACCCACAAACTCCCACCTGGTCCCCTATAGCAGCAGTTCGTTAATCCCTGCTGCATAAGATGGCTTCCAGAGTGGCTATATGCTGCCTGTCCCTTCTGCCCATCTATTTGTGTTTCTTGTTGTTTACTTACAACCACACAACTCATAGATATCCATTCTATGTTGGAATCTAATCTAATCTATAGAAGGGGTGAAAGAGCAGAGAGCTCTGTGCTCTTTCACCCCTTCCATATTTCTGACAACACAAAATGTTCTGGCCATTGGTTAGTTTTCCCTGCCCTTTCCCCAAAGAGCCCTGGTTCCTCTTACTGGCATACAGTATTCAAAAACCAGGATCTAAGTTCACTGTTTCTAAACCTTCATAGCAAACAGAACTGGGGGAAATTTTTACACACACACACACACACACACACACACACACACACACACACACACACACACGTTAACACATCTTCATTAATTCCCTCTCTACCTATCAAGAAGCCAGAAGTTCAAATCAATAGCTCACTTCCCATCTAATGTCCACAGTTCATTCCAGACTTTCTCTTCCTTCCTTCCTTTCCTTTTTTTTTTAATGTACATTCATGTTTTGGTTGCATGTATGTCTGTGTGAGGGTGTCAGATCTTGAGTTACAGACAGTTGTGAACTGTCATGTGGGTGCTGGAAAATGAACCTGGGTCCTCTGGAAAGGCAGTCAGTGCTCTTAACCATTGAGCCATATCTCCAGCCCCAGACTTTATTTTTCTTATTTGTAACTTTTTTCTGAGTCCCACTACCAAATGTCTAAAGGTGGAGGTACGGAGAAACCTGGCTGTCATTATCTACCCCCCCACCCCCCCCAGTTTTCATGTAGTCTCTCTCAGTATATACATTGTTTCAGAGCTACTATTCATTCTCCCGATAGAAATAAACTTTCCAGTAAAGTACAGTTAGATACAACGTTCTCAGTTTTCTTTTTGCCCTTCCCTCCCTGTGGACAGTTTTAATTTGTAACCCAAACTCATTTGCAACTGTTTATATTTCAGTTTGAGTTCACTGAATCCTGGTTACTCTTAATTACTTATTTACTTCCATGTGTATGGAATGTTACCATGATTCTACCAGTCAAATAAGCTCTGAGTAACTTCCTCTTCCCTTTAGCTGTACTATGTTCTTTCCATGCCTCTCTTCTCATCTCTTTCCTATCCACCCTTGGCCAATGATAGGTCTCTTATTGAGATCTGGTTTATCTTGTATTTCATCTGTTCAAATGAGCAGATAAAAATTTTAACCCTTTTCTTTAAAATTGAGCATTATTACAAAAAGCACACTTGTGTAATTCTGGAATTCGGACCCCTCTATTGAAACAACTTGGCTTTCTTGTAATAATGATCTACTTTTGAGTAATAATCCCCTTTTCATACATGAAGGGTGGCATCATTTTACATGTTGTTTTTAAAAAGAGATTTATTGTTACTTTATGTGTATGAGTGTTTTGCCTGCTTGTAAGTATGTGTGCCATATGCAAGCCTAGTGCCCATGATGTCAGAAGGCAGCACTGGATCCCTCGGAGTGGAGTTCCATATGGTTGTAAGCAGCTGTGAGTGCTAGGGCCTTAACCTGAGTTCTCTAGCAAGTGCTTTATATATTCATTTTACATTTCTTTTTTTTTTTTTTTTTTTTTGGTTTTTCGAGACAGGGTTTCTCTGTGTAGTTTTGCACCTTTCCTGGAACTCACTTTGTAGCCCAGGCTAGCCTCGAATACACTTCTTTCTTGAAGCACACATTGCACACAATAAATCTTCCTAATTTTTCATAAATACCCTTGAAAGCATTTTTAATCTGTATTTTTTATTTTTTTTAAACTAGATTATGTGTGAGTATTTTGCCTGTATGTCTGTCTGTCTGTGCACCAGGTATGTGCTTGGTGCCAGAGGAGGTCAGAAGAAGGCATCAGATCTCCTGGAATTGGAGTACTGAATGGTTGTGAACTACCATGTGGGTAGTTCTCTATGTGTATGGAATGTCATGTGGGTGCTGGGAATAGAGCTCTGCAAGAGAAACAGGTGATCTTAATCACTGAGACGTCTCTCTAGCCCACTTTTTTTTTTTTTTTTAATAAAAATAGTAACAAGGGGCTGGAGAGATGGCCCTGTGATTAAGAGCACATACCGCTTTTCTAGACCTGAGTAGGGTTCCCAGCACCTGTGTCAGGTGGCTCACAACCACCTGTAACTCCAGCTCCAAGGGAGCCAATGCTTCTGGCGTCTGCTGGCACCTGCACTCACTTGTGTATATAACCACACATATAATTAAAATAATGAACTTCATCAGGTTCTCAAAGGGGTTGATGTTCTCCAAAGGAGAGGGGGGAAAACAAAGAGACTACTGCTCTTAAATGTGTAAACTTATCTTTAAACTGTCAGGCTGCCTATGTATCTGACTTTATTTTGAGAAGTTAAACAGAAAAAAACCAAAACATTGCTGCATGCTCCCACTACCATACTATCACTGACCATCTGTCATATTTGCTTCAGTGCATTAACCCTCTTAGCAACTTCTGAGAGGAATTAAACACCTAAGTCATGTGTGGAAGTCCACGTGCAGCCACCTACACCCAACTCACTCTTTCACTGGAAGAAATCCTCTTGCATCAGGAGACATGTATTTGGAAACAGCAGAATTTAATGTCTAGGAAAATGAGCCCTTGGGAGATAACTCAATAAGCTACTCTTTACAGCACATCTCCTAACTTAGTGTCTTAAATCCCTCCAGTCAGTAAGCAGCATTTGAACTCAAAGCCAGAGCTCTTACTCACTAGTTTACAGCCTGTGACTTCAAAAGGGTCTCTTCACATTACAGTCACTACAGACAACCTTCCAAAAATGAAATGGCTAGCTCTATGACGTGGCCCTGATCAAGATGGGGCTGACTCTGAATACAGTGGGCCATGCAATCAGTCACAGGGTTTCAAGTGCTGCTTTTAAAATGCCATCCTTGTGACTTGTTTCCACATGGGGCTGTATGGGTATCAGAAAAGACCATGCCTTTCCAGCCTTTAATAACCCTCAGCCTTCTAGGAAAGGCTGAGCAGATGAGTAAGATGAATGAAAACCTGTACTTTTTCCTTTCATATTAAATATACATTCCAGTCCCTCAAAGGGAAAGCAAACAGAAAACACTCAAAAGAATGAAAGAAACCAACTAGTCCATGCATCACTGAACTGAGGACAATTAAAAAAAAAAAATCTAGTTTTCCTTATAAAACGCTGAGGAAAGTGCCTGGGCCTGCCTGGCTTGGCTCAGCACTTGAAGCCTTACTATACTTTTTATTTATTTATTTGCAGTCTGAGGAGCAAAGGGATCAATCTATATATCGAATACTTAAGACACTCACCCAAGACTGAAGGCTCCAGTTTGAAAGTCAACAGGGAAAGAAACAGTATCTGGGCATCATGATGGCATGGATCAACTGAAGCACCTTAGACTGAGAGCTTCTCAATGCTGGGCTAGCTCCTGGTGACATGCATAGCTATTATTCATGTCATTATAACATCTCTGCTACTTGGATGTGGTACAAGGCAATTGGTGTTACTACTTCAACATACTCAGCAGGATTCCAGACTAGAAGTAGCTCTCAAAGGTGACCCCTTCATCTACCTTGCTTTGACATGTCTAGTACCTCAGTATTTCTTAGAGGAGAATTGAGACTTAAGTGTCTTCTTACTAGAAAATAACCTCATCTGGCCCAGCTTTGCAGGACCAGGCCCAAGAAACGGCAAGTAAAACTAGAGAGCGCCGGGCGGTGGTGGCGCACGCCTTTAATCCCAGCACTCGGGAGGCAGAGGCAGGCGGATCTCTGTGAGTTCGAGGCCAGCCTGGTCTACAGAGCTAGATCCAGGAAAGGCGCAAAGCTACACAGAGAAACCCTGTCTCGAAAAAACCAAAAAAAAAAAAAACAAAAAAAAAAAAAAAAACTAGAGAGCAATTGTTATTTCATTTTCCAATCCTCCTGAGCAGCTCTGCATCCCTTTGAAAAGACATAGCTCAATAAGGTCACAGACAGGGGCACAGGCTTTCTGTGCATTGGGTTTGTAAATGGAAAGGGCAAAGGGTTAAACAGGGAATGTGCTGGAGACTAGTTTCAGCTCTGAATGGTCAGACTGAGCAACTGATAGCTGACTTCTCAATCTTATCATTAAAGTCCAGACTCAGATATAAATTAAGCTAAAAGGTAAAGCCATAGAAAAGGAACAGAAATACAGAAAATATCAGCTGAGCTATGTCTTCCTCCAACAGCCAAGAACAAAGCAATGTAATAGCTTTGACAGAGCCCCAAGAGGAAAGCCTCTTTGAAAGCCTACAGTTTGGCTATAAGGTTACAGTTATAACACTCAATAGGATAGACCAGGAAAAGCCCACTGAGCCTATAGCTCGAGTGGCCACCTGAGTTACTATCCACCCTCAACAGGGTCAGAGGTAAGTGCCACACAGAGGGTGACCAGCTCTTTCTGTAACAAACCACTAGCAGCCCAGACCAAGTCTCTCAGTGGAACTGGATCTCTGATCTAATTAAGAGCTGTTAGGCTAGCCCAACATAGTAGCACACATCTTTGTACCCAGCACTCAGGAGGCAGAGGCAGGTAGATCTCTGAGTTTCAGGACAGCCAAGGGTACATAGTGATACCCTGTCTCAAAAAAGCAAAGAGTCCTTAGGACATAATGTGATAGAGGGGATGGAGAAGCCATGCAAAATTAAAGGTACAGGGGTTGGGGGCGGCTGTGCAGATTTCACCAAGATGGAAGGGAAGCAAGTTGCCACTGAGAAAGAATATAGTTTGGCAAAGAAAAGCAGATGAATCACCAGAGATAGTCACTGATCATTATGGTTATTATGAGAGAAGGTACTTTGAAGCTGTATGGAAGCTTTCCAATTCTTACAATGAACCCACTTTTTCTTCAGGTCACTTAATATTTTTCCTCAATTTGAAGAATTTAAATTTCAACAGCTCTTAATGCAGTCACCATGAAGATTAGTGACGTGGAATGATTAGTTTAGGACAAAGCCACATTTCTGACAAAACAAAAACAAACAAACAAAAATACTGAAAGGGAAGCAACATTCCCCCCAGGGCTGATTCCCACACCAGGGATGACCACTTCAACATTCCCTCACAACGCCATTCTGCATAATACCCCACTATTGCTAATCTTGAACTGAAAAGCTAATGAGTTGTGGGTTTGGATTTTATTAATCAGGTTTAATATGCAACCTATTGACTAAATATTAGCATTTCTTCTCTATAAGGAGCACAGACGATAACAATATGTTATATGATTTTAAAGACCATGGCCTTCACTTGCATTATGGAGTTTAAATGGTAACAGGTTGCTTACATCAAAGGTCAACTGCAGAGAGAAGGCTTGCAAGACATCAGACACAAGGTTGCCAGGTTAACACTCTTCACCGCTTTCTCTTGAATGTGCAAAAGTAGAACTGAGTCTACATTATTATGGTATTCATTATAGCTACCCAGGAATCTAAGCTAAAACAGAAAAATCAACAACTATACCACTGTCTACCAGTCTGCTTTGAAAACAAATCTTCTCAGGCAGGTGGTGATGGGAATACAATGAGTCCCACACCAGCCTGCGATACAAAGACCCCCACCCACCCTCCCACTCCCCCCAAAGAGAAAAGGGCTGGGAATGCGGTTCAGTGGTAAGGGTCAATCTACAGTACCGGCAAAAGAAAAACAAATCACGCTCCACTCTTCCCTATTTGTAAGCAATACACATGTGAGTGTGATTTTTCTTGAGACTGGGTCTGTATAGCTCAGGCTGGTCTTAAACTCCTGATTCTCTTGTCTCCACTTTCCAAGTGCTGGGATTACAGGAGCTAGCCACCAAGGCCTTGTGCATACTAGGCAAGCATTCTACTACTGAGGTGCTACTACTGAGGTTCCCTTCTTTCCTCCCCTTTTTTGGGCGGGGGATGAGAGTGCTGTTAGTTTATATTTTGAAAGCCTTTCTCCCTCTGATGCATAGCCTCTATATCTCTCGGTGCAAAGTCTGCAGACGTCCATCCACGGACCCGGATTCTGGTTACAGGATCTCAGGCACAGGCCCCTCAGTGCTAGGAGGCCATAAGAACATTCCTCCATTAAGCAATAGCCTTAGGAGACGCCCACTGCTCCCTGATGGGCTAGGAATCTCCATGCCTCCATCCTGTAGGCATGCTGGATGCACGCTCGCCTTAGGCTGCACTAGGCCTCGGAGAGTCGGTCTCGGCTACGCAGCCGTCCCGCACCTCCTCCCTCAGCGCTAAGGCTTGCACCCGGAGCCGCCACCGCTACCTGCACTCCATGAACGATGTAAACCTTCTCAGCCTCACTTAGTGCCACCGACGCCATGCTGTTCAGCTCACCGCGCGCGCTTGTGCGTCATCAGTTTGCGCCCCTCCCCACGGTGCCTGAGCGTCATCAGTCCGCGCGGTGGCCGCTCCCGCAGCCGCGGCTGCCGCCACCGCCTGGAGCTCCATGGGCTTCTCCTGCGCGCCGCCCGGTGTGAGGCCGAGTCCGGCAAGCCGCGGCGCCCGGTGCCCGAGCCATCGCGGACGCTGGAGGGTGGGCCCCGGGATAGGGGCAGCAGCTGGCGGCGCGGGACTGCGAGCTGCCTTCAGGTTGACGGTCAGTTTGGAGAGGAAGCCCCGGGAGGAGGGAGGTGCGGGGCCCCAGCCGGGACTGGGTGAGAAGCGCGCACCCTTGCGCGCTGGGGCCGGAGTCGAAGTAGCTGAGCTCGTGCACGTGAGATGCCTCAGGAAGGCGGAAGTCGTGCTGCTCATGAGGGAACATCTCCTAAACCCCCTTAGTTGGTCCCTAGGGTGGCTGAAAAGACTATGGATCCCTCGTTAAGTCACTCTGGTCGGGAAGGGTCTAAGCTAGTAGTGGGGCTCCGGCTTCTCAGTTTGCTCACTCCTCCCTCTACTCCAGAGATCGATCTTTCTGTTGTCTCTTCCCTTGTCCCTTTCTCCCTTACTGCTCATCATCAAGTAGTGACCCAGGGCTTTGTGAGTTACCCTTGCCTCGTGTGGTTGCTGGAGTATTGCCCCAGAGAGAGTAGGGAGAGTGTCTTGGCGCTTCGGAATGCCTTGATGGAGGGGATCGCTAAGGGAGGTGGTTGGACAACTGCCTGGAAAAGAACCGACCCTGGGAGGAAATGGGACTTGTATATCTAGAAAGGATGCCTCCAAGGTGAAGCTGGGGTCATCGTGGGAGCTCTTTAAGAAAGAGAGATAGTATATGAGCCGAGTTTTAAAGGAACTATGTGGGAAAATGGGAGGAATTGGTTGAAAAGTCACTTATCTGATGATGTTCTATTTTTGAGGAAAGTAACCCGTCACAGCTTAATCATCAAGAAATAAAAGGTGGGAGCCACACAAACGCCTTTAATCCCAGTGTTTAGGAGGCGGATCTCTGTGAGTTCTAGGCCAGCCTGCTCTACATAGTGAGTTCCAGGACGTCCAGAGCTGCATAGTGAGACCCTGTCTTGAAGAACAACAGCAACAAAAGAGGCGTTTCTTCGATATGGCTTCACAGCTAACTAAATAAACAGAACTTCTGACCACAGAATCTTCCAGGGCAGAAGGGAAGTCTCCTGTAAGCAGAGCCACAGAACATGGTGCTTAGTGGATTAATGGCTATAGTGGGATTGGCAGGTGAGTCAGAAAAGTAACAGGAAATGCCTGACTGTATTCCTAGGTCCTGAACTGTTAACTGTTGAGCCCTTAAATGGATGGTCTTTTCTCATTGATAGACTGGACATGAATTTCCTGGGTCCATACATAGTACTACAGGTGCTCCTGAGAGAAGACTTCTCGCAGGGTTGTACTTTGCCCTCTAGGGTAACTGGGAAAGAAAGGCGAAACTGGAAAGGTTTTCTTCCTTTTGTGGAGGAACAGGTGCCAAACTAAATACAGCACCTACACTCCATCTCTGTGTTTGGTTGGACAGTTAGATTCTGTGTGAGGAACTGGTGAAATAATAAGGACTCCTGCTATTAGTTAGGGTACCTTGTGCTAGAAATTATTGGAAAAATAAACCATTTTAATAGTATATGGTGGGGGGCAGGCTGAAGATTGGAAAGATGGCAGCCAGTTGAAAAGTCAGAAAAGACACTGGAAGAAAGGTTGAGTTTGACTACCATGGAGTCATTTTCCTGGCGGGGTGGGGGTGGGGGAATCTTTCAACATGTCTTTAAAAATATATAATAGTGGTAGGACACTATCATGTACAAAGGCCTTAGATTCCCTCCACAGTACCACACATATACACCCTCCCTGACAACCAACATCAGGTTCTTTGTGGAGAAGGGTCAGCATTATTTATTTGGTGACTAATTTTATGAGTGATATCTGATATTAGGTTCAGAAAGCCTAAGGAAGCATAAACAGAGTTATATTCTCTGCTAGAATGTTGATAGCATCTTCAGCTGTTCCTCTTATGCCACGAGATCATTTTCATCATATTCATTAAGTTCATTAGACGTCTTTAAAGCTCATCAACTTGTAGTTCTTTTTTATTGAAGCAATTCAAACATATTAGAACCAGAGAAAATAAAAGAATCAAGGATGGCACATTATATTGTGCTATACCAGTTTGCTTTTCCATTCCTGTTAGGTTTTTTGTTTTGTTTTGTTTTGTTTCATGCTGTTTTGTTGCTGTGTCTTTTATAAACTCTGTGCTCTATTAATTTTCTATGATACTGTGTGATGGTTTTAGTGTGTCAGAAACTTTACAAAGATTCAGTTCTCAAAATAGCCTAATGAATACAGTTTTACAGTTTGGAAAACAGGCACAGAAAACATACATGTCTGAGCAAAGTCACTGATGACATAACTAATAAGTAGCAGAGACAGGATTTGAGTGGAGGCTTTGTAGCTCCCAAACCTGCACTCTGAAATGTCACCTTCTATAGCACCTCACAATCTCTGTCATCCATCAGGGGACCTAATGCATAAAGCCTATGTTTGTCTATCATTGAGTTGTATCCCCAGGCCAACGGGTTTAATTTCAAAAGCAAGGATGGTTGTTCTAGCATGAACTCACTTCTCTTAACTCCTCTTTCTCGAGCCACATGGAATGTGATGTTGATAAGTCTTGTGCCTGTTTTAGCCCGCCTCATCAGATAAATGAAAATGTTACATTGAACAGTAAAGCTAAACTCCAAGTAGCTAAGAAGAAAGCCCTCCAGAGCAGAGTCTGATAGATCTGGAATGAAGGAAAGGGTCGACTGTATAATGTACATGCTTGGAGAGCCAAACATTCAGGAAGTGTTCTAACGCCTATGAATGCCTGACATTCTCATGGACCTAAAGACATAAAAAATCAGGCACTTGCTTAAAAGAAGTTTAGGATTTATTGTAGCTGAGGTGTTCAGGCCCTTGAGCTAGTGCATGAACCAGACAGTAAAATGAAATGCTTAATTGAGCCAGTTAGTAATTAGGGCTGTAATAAGGTGCTAATTGTGCAGGTCAAGCACCAAGTACAAAAGAGAAAGAGCTGCTGCTAACAGCAGTAACATTATATAAAGCAGAAGTAAATAAGACCCACCCACCCCTGGTTCATTAAAGCTATAAAAGAGCCTGGAGCACTGCTGTGAACTCTTAGAAACTCAGCAAGGGGGTATTTTATGCCCAGTTGTAGGCCAAACATGGCCAGATTTTAGGTCTTTTCCTTTAACCTCACAGAAGAACACAAAGTGAGCTACTGTTTTTCCTAAAGATCTGTTTCCTTTGCATACTTTGCATTTGTCCCACCTGTCCTTGCATGAATACTAGATATAAACAGCCTTTCACAGTCTAACCATGGGTCTGTATGTCTTGTCTTAGATCTTGTGATTTAGGATTATAGTAATAGAAAAGTTGATAGCAATACATGAGCCATGCGTATTTCCCATTAAAGAAAGGGTCTGCCGTGTGTCATTTTAAGAGGCTGGCCTGTCTATGAGTCTCATGAGATCATATGTGAGAAAATGAGTCACACATCCCAATTTCCAAGTGTAGAATACACACTTAAGAGCTGTGCTCAGAGTCTGAGGTCTAAACTGAGGGTAATACTTCAGTATTGACCTAGAAGGGAAAGGAGGTTGACACCATGCTGCCTGTAGTTACACCTTTGAAAATCGTTTGCTTTCTTCTTGGGAAATTTCCTGAGACACTTGGCCAGGTCAGGTGAGAAAGCTTGAGGCAAATATTCTTGCTTTCATCATCTCAGCACTTCAGAAAAGCCAGGAAATCATTTTTTTATAGTCTCCTCCAAAGGGGAACCTTCAGGATGCACAAACACTTGGTTGAAGTCTAGATTTTCTTTGCTGCCTGAGGACATTGGTTGAGTTCCATTTCTTACCTTAACAAAGTAAGGCTAGTATCCACCTAGTCACAGTCCTGCTGTAGTAAGTCTTGACCTTGGCATATAAAGTCTATTTTCACACCAAGTCAGTAGCAAAGAATCCAGAAAGACAGGTTGGTTAGGAAGATACAAATCTGTAGTGAAAAGACTACTAGGCTTCTCATGCTGTAGATTGGGCTTTGCTGCTGACTTGCTTTGTGTCTGTAACCTTCTAGCCTCACTTTACTCCCAAACTAATTTCTTGCTAGGTTGTAAAATTCATACTATATCCTGGATGTACAAAGATTTAAATATTGTCTAGATAGCTCAGTGGGTAGAAGTGCCAGCCACCAACTCTAACAACTTGAGTTTGACCTCCAGAATCCACGTGGTAGAAGGAAAGAAATGACTCCTACAAATCCTCGGACCTTTACATGCATCATGCATGATTTGTGTACACACATACACACAAGTAAATAAATGAATTAAAAAGTAAACACTGAGCAGACAGGACTCTTGAGTTCAAGGCCAGCCTGATGTTCATAGTGAATTACAGATCAGGCCAAGCTAGTAAGTCTTAGATAGTAAGACTCTATCCTAAAAATGTAAAAAAAATAAATATTGAAAATGGTTCAAAATGGTGTTTAACTTGGAGTGCTTGTTTGTAGCTAGAAGTTTCCCTGTCTTGCCCGGTCCCACAGCTGTTCAGTCTCAAATAAACACACAGAGGCTTATATTAATTACAAATTGTTTGGTCTACTACTTGCTAGCTAGCTCTTTCATCTTAAATTAATCCATTTCTATTAATCTATGTTTTGCCATGTTGCCATGGCCATACCAGTCTGCTGTCATGTTGATCCTTGGGCAGTGGGGCTGGCGTCTGCTCTGATTCCACCCTCTTCTCCCTGTGTCTCTCTTGGATTTCCCACCTGGCTCTTATCCTGCCTTACCATAGGCCAAAACAGCTTCTTTATTAACCAATAGTAGCAACACATATTCACAGCGTACAGGAAGACCATCCCACAGCACTTGTTTGTTTGTCTGTTTGAGATAGGGTCTGTCTGTGTAGCCCTGGCTGTCCTAGAAC